ATATTTAGTAGGAGCAATTCCATACAAACCAAAAACGAATTTGTTGTTATTAAAACTTAATTAAATGTCAAAATAGATAAAAATTCTCTCATTTTAGAGATATCGTTTGAGGTATTCATCCACTTTTGTGTATTTGATTTGGGGATAAAGCTTAGAGGCCTCCTCTCCCTCAGCTCCAATTTCAAAGTTTGTGAGACATCCTTCATAGCAAACATGGTAGTAGTGTGTTAACCCAACTTGGTCCGCATAATCTTGTCCTTAAAAAACAAAAAGAGAGATAAATGAATTAGTAATGAGCCATATATTTGAAATGAAGGTTTGTTTGGCATTTTTGAAAAGTGATTGAGTTTTCCTATAATTTGTATTTTTATATGTGAACTCAAATGCTTTTGGATGACTACAGATTACAGCCACGCATTTTTTACAACATTTCTCATCGCCTACTTGTAACAAGAGTGAATTCGTGATGATATGTGGTCCACTGCCATTATTCCTTCTTTAAAATGTTGTTGCCTTCTTTTTGATTTGGGGCATACACATGATTGTTTGAATACATGTGTCAGATTAATTGAGATCTTAGATTTTTTTTTTTTTTAAATTTAGTTTATGTTTGACGTATTTTGTTGATCTGCATCAATAATATACATATATTTTGGTGAGAAATTTAGCAGACAAAAGTGATAAGTAAACTAACCTTTCATGAGAGCTAAAAAATCATCCTTGGAGTGAGATTACTTTTTACAGACATATAGTACTCGACGAGTTCTACATATTGAACGGTTCAGATTATCAAAACGGGACCCGTGATGGGCCCCCACCAGCCGAATAGCAGTGTGTGGAAATTGCACCAAAACTGTGCTACAAAAATTAAGAAACGCTGCACAACGCAGTCTTAACATGACTGCTGAGTTGTGATAATCGTGTGGAAAATTAATTTTTTAATATTTTTTTTAGTGAATAGTGATAACTTTTCGAGTAATTTTTTGATTTTTTGATTTTTGGAGAGATGCCAAACTTGAGCTTAAAAAAAGTTTCTTAGTTTTTTACAATAAAAAAAATTTTAGTCATTACTTTTAAAAAAAACATACAAAAGTTAATGTTTGACATGATTATATATAATATTTAATTATTATAAATATATATTTTAAAAGAAATTGAATTCTTAATATTCAAATGAGGTGCAAAGGATTTTGATTAATGAAGAGAGTCACATTTATGCTTTTCAATTTCTTAATATATAACCGTCTTTTTTTATACATTTAGGCCATATTTTGTTTGCGAATAAAGGAGCAGAATATGCTTATTTTGTTTTAGGATGAAATTATTTCGCATTTAGTTTGCATTTTGTAATTTGGGATAATTTATTTTATTTATTTTTTCTTTTTTCTTTTTTTACGCAAGATAATTTTGCTGTTGGAGAGGTTGGATGACTTATCGTGAGATAAAGAACTTCATTACAAAATGAAGAAATTATCTTTCTTCATTTCATACCTTATCCCCTCCTAAAACCAAACATAGTTTGGGAAATACTTAAATCATACTTCTATAAAAAAAAACCTTATAAACAACAACCATTTGATGCTAACTTAAAATTAATTGGAATATTTCTTACCCACTAATACAAAGTAGCACTTTTCAAAAATGAATTGAATGCATTTGTATCAAAATGACACCAACTTAATCAAAAGAAAACTTCAATATTTAGTAGGAGCAATTCCATACAAACCAATAACGAGTTTGTTGTTATTAAAACTTAATTAAATTGCAAAATAGATAAAAATTCTCTCATTTTAGAGATATCGTTTGAGGTATTCATCCACTTTTGTGTATTTGATTTGGGGATAAAGCTTAGGGGCCTCCTCTTCCTCAGCTCCAATTTCAAAGTTTGTGAGACGTCCTTCATAGCAAACATGGTAATAGTGTGTTAACCCAACTTGGTCTGCATAATCTTGTCCTTAAAAAACAAAAAAGAGAGATAAATGAATTAGTAATGAGCCATATATTTGAAATGAAGGTTTGTTTGGCATATCTGAAAAGTGATTGAGTTCTCCTATAATTTGTATTTTTATATGTGAACTCAAATGCTTTTGGATGACTAAAGATTACAGCCACGCATTTTTTACAACATTTCTCATCGCCTACTTGTAATAAGAGTGAATCTGTGATGATATGTGGTCCACTGCCATTATTCCTTCTTTAAAATGTTGTTGCCTTCTTTTTGATCTGGGGCATACACATGATTGTCTGAATACATGTGTCAGATTAATTGAGATCTTAGATTTTTTTTGTTTTTAAATTTAGTGTATGTTTGACGTATTTTGTTGATCTACATCAATAATATATATATATTTTGGTGAGAAATTTAGCAGACAAAAGTGATAATTAAACTAACCTTTCATGAGAGCTAAAAAATCATCCTTGGAGTGAGATTACTTTTTACAGGCATATAGTACTCGATGAGTTCTACATATTGAACGGTTCAGATTATCAAAACGGGACCCGTGATGGGCCCCCACGGGCTGAATAGCAATGTGTGGAAATTGCACCAAAACTGTGCTACAAAAATTAAGAAACGCTGCACAGCGCAGTCTTAACATGACTGCTAAGTTGCGATAATTGTGTGGAAAATTAATTTTTTAATATTTTTTTTGGTAAATAGTGATTACTTTTTAACTTTTTGAGTAATTTTTTTATTTTTTGACTTTTTGGAGAGATGCCAAACTTGAGCTTAAAAAAAGTTTCTTAGTTTTTTACAATAAAAAAAATTTTAGTCATTACTTTTAAAAAAACATACAAAAGTTAATATGTTTGACCCGATTATATATAATATTTAATTATTATAAATATATATTTTAAAAGAAATTGAATTCTTAATATTCAAATGACGTGCAAAGGATTTTGATTACTGAAGAGAGTCACATTTATGTTTTTCAATTTCTTAATATATAACCGTCTTCTTTTACATTTAGGCCATATTTTGTTTGCGAATAAAGGAGCAGAATATGCTTATTTTGTTTAGGATGAAATTCTTTCGCATTTAGTTTGCATTTTGTAATTTGGGATAATTTATTTTGTTTTTTTTTTCTTTTTTCTTTTTTTACGCAAGATAATTTTGCTGTTGGAGAGGTGGGATAACTTATCGTGAGAAAAAGAACTTCATTACAAAATGAAGAAATTATCTTTCTTCATTTCATACCTTATCCCATCCTCAAACCAAACATAGTTTGGGAAATACTTAAATCATACTTCTATAAAAAACGTTATAAAAAACAACCGTTTGATGCTAACTTAAAATTAATTGAAATATTTCTTACCCACTAATACAAAGGAGCACTTTTCCAAAATGAATTGAATGCATTTGTATCAAAATGACGCCAACTTAATCAAAAGAAAACTTCAATATTTTAGTAGGAGCAATTCCATACAAACCAAAAACGAGTTTGTAGTTATTAAAACTTAATTAAATTGCAAAATAGATAAAAATTCTCTCATTTTAGAGATATCATTTGAGGTATTCATCCACTTTTGTGTATTTGATTTGGGGATAAAGCTTAGAGGCCTCCTCTCCTCAGCTCCAATTTCAAAGTTTGTGAGACATCCTTCATAGCAAACATGGTAGTAGCGTGTTAACCCAACTTGGTCTGCATAATCTTGTCCTTAAAAAACAAAAAAGAGAGATAAATGAATTAGTAATGAGCCATATATTTGAAATGAAGGTTTGTTTGGCATTTCCGAAAAGTGATTGAGTTTTCCTATAATTTGGGTTTTTATATGTGAACTCAAATGCTTTTGGATGACTAAAGTTACAGCAACGCAGTTTTTACAACATTTCTTATCGCCTACTTGTAATAAGAGTGAATCCGTGATGATATGTGGTCCACTTCCATTATTCCTTCTTTAAAATGTTGTTGCCTTCTTTTTGATCTGGGGCATACACATGATTGTCTGAATACATGTGCCAGATTAATTGAGATCTTAGATTTTTTTATTTTTATTTTTTAAATTTAGTGTATTTTTTCGTATTTTGTTGATCTACATCAATAATATATACACACATATATATATATTTTGGTGAGAAATTTAGCAGACAAAAGTCATAATTAAACTAACCTTTCATGAGAGCTAAAAAATCATCCTTGGAGTGAGATTACTTTTTACAGGCTTATAGTACTCGACGAGTTCTACATATTGAACGGTTCAGATTATCAAAATGGGACCCGTGATGGCTCCCACGGCCGAATAGCAGTGTGTGGAAATTGCACCTAAACTGTGCTAAAAAAATTAACAAACGCTGCACAGCGCAGTCTTAACATGATTGCTGAGTTGTGATAATTGTGTGGAAAATTAATTTTTTAATATTCTTTTTTGGAGAATAGTGATAACTTTTTAACTTTTTGAGTAACTTTTTGATTTTTTAACTTTTTGGAGAGATGCCAAACTTGAGCTTAAAAAAAGTTTCTTAGTTTTTTACAATAAAAAAAATTTAGTCATTACTTTTAAAAAAACATACAAAAGTTAATATGTTTGACCCGATTATATATAATATTTAGTTATTATAAATATATATTTTAAAATAAATTGAATTCCTAATACTCAAATGAGGTGCAAAGGATTTTGATTACTGAAGAGAGTCACATTTATGTTTTTCAATTTCTTAATATATAACCGTCTTCTTATACATTTAGGCCATATTTTGTTTGCGAATAAAGGAGCAGAATATGCTTATTTTGTTTTTGGATGAAATTATTTCACATTTAGTTTGCATTTTGTAATTTGGGATAATTTATTTTGTTTTTTTTTCTTTTTTCTTTTTTCTTTTTTTACGCAAGATAATTTTGCTGTTGGAGAGGTGGGATGACTTATCGTGAGATAAAGAACTTCATTACAAAATGAAGAAATTATCTTTCTTCATTTCATACCTTATCCCATCCTCAAACCAAACATAGTTTGGAAAATACTTAAATCATACTTCTGTAAAAAACCTTATAAACAACAACCATTTGATGCTAACTTAAAATTAATTGGAATATTTCTTACCCACTAATACAAAGGAGCACTTTTCCAAAATGAATTGTATGCATTTGTATCAAAATGACACCAACTTAATCAAAAGAAAACTTCAATATTTAGTAGGAGCAATTCCATACAAACCAAAAACGAGTTTGTTGTTATTAAAACTTAATTAAATTACAAAATAGATAAAAATTCTCTCATTTTAGAGACATCGTTTGAGATATTCATCCACTTTTGTGTATTTGATTTGGGGATAAAGCTTAGAAGCCTCCTCTCCCTCAGCTCCAATTTCAAAGTTTGTGAGACATCCTTCATAGCAAACATGGTAGTAGTGTGTTAACCCAACTTGGTCGGCATAATCTTGTCCTTAAAAAACAAAAAAGAGAGATAAATGAATTAGTAATGAGCCATATATTTGAAATGAAGGTTTGTTTGGCATTTCTGAAAAGTGATTGAGTTTTCCTATAATTTGTATTTTTATATGTGAACTCAAATGCTTTTGGATGACTAAAGATTATAGCCACGCATTTTTTACAACATTTCTTATCGCCTACTTGTAATAAGAGTGAATCCGTGATGATATGTGGTCCACTCCCATTATTCCTTCTTTAAAATGTTGTTGCCTTCTTTTTGATCTGGGGCATACACATGATTTTCTGAATACATGTGTCAGATTAATTGAGATCTTAGATTTTTTTTTTTTTTTAAATTTAGTGTATGTTTGTCGTATTTTGTTGATCTACATCAATAATATATATATATATATATATATTTTTGGTGAGAAATTTAGCAGACAAAAGTGATAAGTAAACTAACCTTTCATGAGAGCTAAAAAATCATCCTTGGAGAGAGATGACTTTTGATGCTCTTTCCCAATTAGCTTCTCCCATATCTGAACAACCACTCTTTGAGAAAGGATGTTTTCTGGTGGTCTCAGTTATAGTGTCTTATTTAGAGTCCGCGGATCATCTATCGTTCTTATAGTGTACTTTGCAATATCATCTTCATCAACATATATTGCTGCCAAGGGTAAGAAAAATATTAGGCATTACTTGCAAACTTTTATTAAGAGAAGAGAAAACGTGTCACGACCCCAAACAGCCCCTAGTAGTTTGGTGCCGTGATGGCCAGTAACCGGAGATTACCGAAGGCCAACTTTCAAAACTCACACACAGACAGAGTATAGATATATATGGGGCTCACAAGTGCGGAAGCAATAATTTAAAAAATACAAGTGGTCCATAAGAGTAGTGCATAAATTTCATGGAATGGCATACAACTTTACATAATATTACAACTTGGATACAAATACAATAAAGTACAAAAATACATTTTACATCTTGATCAAAAGGCTTCTCCAGCCGACATGTGTAAATTGCAAGTATTATAAGCCAATAAGCATAATTTTCAAGACTGCCGACATGAATACAGTTAGGCCGACATAACAAAAACCCCAAAACAAGCTTGCGAGTCACACCTAGGCGTCACCGCCTTCCTGCTCATCACCTACATATATATATAGAGAGAGTGAGCTTGGATACTCAGTGAATGGTATAAGAAATAAAGGGGTTTGCATGACTGGTATTCAAGATCTTTATCAAACAATACATAACGTAATTAGTGCAAGTCAAGGGATGAACCAAGTCCATCTTCCAAATCTGCCAAGTTCAAAGGATGCTTACTAACATCATTATAATACAAGTGATGACATCTCGGCAAACAAAACCCACGCGGTAAACCGTCAGTGGCAAACAAGACAAGACAAAGCAAGACAAGGGAGATATCTCAATTCAATGGTGCCGTTGCATTATAGTCCCCTGACACTAAGGACTTGTGCTACTAATGCTTAGAGTCCCCTAGCACGTACGGACTTCCAAACTTTGTGCTACAAATGCTTATAGTCCCCTAGCACGTACGGACTTCCAAACTTTGTGCTACAAATGCTTATAGTCCCCTAGCACGTACGGACTTCCAAACTTTGTGCTACAAATGCTTATAGTCCCCTAGCACGTACGGACTTCCAAACTTTGTGCTACAAATGCTTATAGTCCCCTAGCACGTACGGACTTCCAAACTTTGTGCTACAAATGCTTATAGTCCCCTAGCACATACGGACTTCCAAGAATGTCATCAAAACAAGATAATATATATATTTTCCAATTAGGAATAACCATTCATGCTTACAAATACTTTCCAAAACGAAGCAAAACAAGACTTTATCAAAGGCATTATAACATAGCTTTATTAAAAATACCACTCACTTAGTTCTTCAAACGTCGGGGAGGTCAAGGCAAGTCCAAGTCCTACAAACACATGGCAAAGTTTGTTGAATGCACTTTCAAACAAGTTTCATATGCATGCAGATGATCTCGGCATTCCTCAAGGCTAGGTCAAATCAAAAAAACAAGTTCTTTATCTCGGGAAAACATGCTGGGCAATTACCAGGACTAGGCCGAGATTCCACAATCCCCTGGCCGAGGTGTGGCCTCTATGGCCACATTCAACGGAATGAAGTCGGAAAAATCTGGGTTCCCCTTTCTTGAAGAACATGAACATGAGGGAGATGAATGCAAAGATCGTGATTTGCTATTACAAAATCTGAGATTTCATGCTATGAGTTCAAAAACATGGACCTGGGTACCATATTCAAGGATCTAGTGAGAACGAACACAAAAACATGAAACTTATGCAAACTTTCAGATCAAACAAGACCTTTCTTTCAAGAACACATGAACACCATTTTCTCTTTTTAAAACCAACTTTAAATCGATGCATGACATGCAAAACGGGTTCGATCATGCAATGCAGCTAGATGATCAATAAGAATGACAACAGTAAATCAAGAATCTAACCTCAATACGCGAATCTAATGGTTTGATCTCTAGGAATCAAGCTCGAAAACCCACTCTCTCCTCACAAACAAAGACATATAGCAAAATGATACATTTTTGGGTCTGCTGGCTGACTTAACCCTCTACAGAGGCACGTGCAGCGGCTGTTGTGCTACACAGAAAGGTGGCTGAGTGACAAGACAAAACTATGACAAAGTGTGTTCACAAGCAAGACGGCATGGGCACTCTGGCGAGTAATGATCTCGGCTAAGAACAAGACATCGGCAAGTAGGAAATGATGACCTTGGCTAGGAAGGACAACACTTGACTAAGCTGTGCTACACCTTGGCCTAGATGTGCCACACTTCGGTCTAGGTCATACCTCTCCGGGACAAGATCACTTAGGTGCAAAGATAACATCTCGGCCTAGATGATACACACCTCGGCCTTGGTGATGAACACCTGGCCTTGTAACGACATCTCAGCCAATATGTCAGGGCGAAGGTGGAGGTCAAACAAAGTGGTTCCAAGGTAATCCTAGACTGAAGACGACCTCGGCTAAACTCACACCAAGCAGGGTACAAAATGCTATAACACTTACAACAACAGGACAAGACTCGAAATGCAAGTTACAAGACAGAAACACATGAATGCATATGAGCATGGCTAGGATAGTGTGAGGGTTATTACAAAACATGAAAGATTAATTCATATGCACGAGCACTTTGAATCCCATCACACCACAATAGAAGCATCTATAACTTCCGATTTGCCATACAAATGTAAGAAATGGTTTTGGAAAATAGTTTTTTCTAAAACTTTGGTTTATTTTTTAAGTGGGACTCATGCGCCAAAGTTGGGGGTCTATGTGGCAACGCGTTTTTTGTCGTGTAACGATTTACATCGTATATTTGATTGCTCAAAACCATTATCAGGTGAATGAAAAATTGATGCCAAAGTAAGCTCTACGAAAATGGTATTTTGGTGGGTTTCCCAAATTGAAGGAAAGCTTGTCCCACATTGGTTGGCTAGGCTAACATTGTATGGTTTATAAGCCTTGAGATTGGTGTTTGGGGTAGCCCCAAGGGGCACTTAAATTTTAAAGAGGGAGGTTATGAGCAAAGTAGATCAAACTCAAAACAAACAAATGCACACTACCACCACTACTTGGGCTTGTGTAATCCAATATTTATCATTTTGGGTCAAAAACATTTGAATTTTATTTTTTTTAAAATTAAATTCTTACCGTTTGGAATTTGATTTTGGTTTGAAATTCAAAGTAAATTCTGAATTGACCCCACGTTTCTAAACGTTGGCAGTTTGATCCATTACACCTTTTCAACTTTTTCCCTCCAACCCGAACAGGTTCTTTGCTTGTTCAAGTCTGTTTCGAACAGATCTTTGCCTGTTCAAATCTATCCTAAAAAGCCTCAAATTCTGCTATAATTAAACAAGTCATCCATTGGGTTTTCAATCAATTTTTGTTATTCCTTCTGCTTCTGCTTCCTGAATTTATTTCCTGTGAGAAAGAGTATAACACAAAGTATATTCGTTGGACATTTAGTTTGTATTGTTGCTACTAATTGTCGTTAATCATTTTATCCTAGGATATTGACGTCCACATTCTAAAAGTATCGTGGAGAGGATGAATCTGTCTTAAGGAAACAGTGTTTAACACTGGACTTGATTGAATTTTCGAAGAAGTAATACTGTAAGTAGTTTGTTTATAATTTTCTTTTTAGATTTCTATTTGATTCTGTTTTTTGTTTTTGTAACAAAATAAGAATATGTTTTTTTTTATTTTTATTTTTTTTGTTTGTTCTATTTTGATTTAAGTAATCAAACAAACTTTCTTCTTCCTTATTCAATTATTCGAATACAGTGAAAATTGTCTAAGACATTGATTATTGATATAAGGGTTATCAAGCTAGTCTGCAAAATTAGTGTTCAAATCAGTATGTGGGCTAGGCCTGTCGGTTTTTTTTTTATGGGTCAGGTCAGTCTAGGACAGGAAAATTTATACGGAGCCTTATTTAATAGGTATGGCTCAGACGGTCTACCAGTTGGCCCATGGCCTAATTCCAATGGGTCAAAATTCCAGTTTAAAATGCATTTTATATATCACATAACTCATTTTTACAATTGAATTGATGATCTTATTTTCGAATAAAAAGTAATATTAGGTATTTCGTAGTATAACATTGTCCATTAATGACATTTAAAATGCATTATCTTTCAAAATCAATATCTATAGGACATTTAAAAAAACATTATACAAACACAACAAACAACAAACAAAAATTGTGAAAATAAAGTACCTTTTGGATTGCCATCTCCCAACAAGACCACATGATCCCTTGAGGGAAAATTTTTCCGGGTTGGCAAAGGTCACCAGAAAGTAGGCAGCGAAGCAGTTTACAGAGACATAGGTGTAAGGTATTCCGGCATCTTGGATCGCTTTCTTACTACCATTTGTCATCAAATGTAACCCTTCCTGGTTCCATTGCATTCGTCGTTGTTGCTGGATCAGTTTCGAACTCAGATGGCAAAATCTCTACATTAATATATACCCCAAATTAAAAATTATGAATTTCACCAAATGCATCAAGTAAAAGAAACAACAAAGCACTAGTAGTGAAGTGATTTAACAATTGAATGCAAAGATCGTGATTTGCTATTACAAAATCTGAGATTTCATGCTATGAGTTCAAAAACATGGACCTGGGTACCCATATTCAAGGATCTAGTGAGAACGAACACAAAAACATGAAACTTAATGCAAACTTTCAGATCAAACAAGACCTTTCTTTCAAGAACACATGAACACCATTTTCTCTTTTTAAAACCAACTTTAAATCGATGCATGACATGCAAAACGGGTTCGATCATGCAATGCAGCTAGATGATCAATAAGAATGACAACAGTAAATCAAGAATCTAACCTCAATACGCGAATCTAATGGTTTGATCTCTAGGAATCAAGCTCGAAAACCCACTCTCTCCTCACAAACAAAGACATATAGCAAAATGATACATTTTTGGGTCTGCTGGCTGACTTAACCCTCTACAGAGGCACGTGGCAGCGGCTGGTTGGTGCTACACAGAAAGGTGGCTGAGTGACAAGACAAAACTATGACAAAGTGTGTTCAACAAGCAAGACGGCATGGGCACTCTGGCGAGTAATGATCTCGGCTAAGAACAAGACATCGGCAAGTAGGAAATGATGACCTTGGCTAGGAAGGACAACACTTGACTAAGCTGTGCTACACCTTGGCCTAGATGTGCCACACTTCGGTCTAGGTCATACCTCTCCGGGACAAGATCACTTAGGTGCAAAGATAACATCTCGGCCTAGATGATACACACCTCGGCCTTGGTGATGAACACCTCGGCCTTGGTAACGACATCTCAGCCAATATGTCAGGGCGAAGGTGGAGGTCAAACAAAGTGGTTCCAAGGTAATCCTAGACTGAAGACGACCTCGGCTAAACTCACACCAAGCAGGGTACAAAACATGCTATAACACTTAAACGAACAAGGACAAGACTCGAAATGCAAGTTTACAAGACAGAAACACATGAATGCATATGAGCATGGCTAGGATAGTGTGAGGGTTATTACAAAACATGAAAGATTAATTCATATGCACGAGCACTTTGAATCCCATCACACCACAATAGAAGCATCTATAACTTCCGATTTGCCATACAAATGTAAGAAATGGTTTTGGAAAAATAGTTTTTTCTAAAACTTTGGTATATTTTTTAAGTGGGACTCATGCGCCAAAGTTGGCGGGTCTATGTGGCAACGCGTTTTTTGTCGTGTAACGATTTACATCGTATATTTGATTGCTCAAAACCATTATCAGGTGAATGAAAAATTGATGCCAAAGTAAGCTCTACGAAAATGGTATTTTGGTGGGTTTCCCAAATTGAAGGAAAGCTTGTCCCACATTGGTTGGCTAGGCTAACATTGTATGTGTTTATAAGCCTTGAGATTGGTGTTTGGGGTAGGCCCCAAGGGGCACTTAAATTTTAAAGAGGGGAGGTTATGAGCAAAGTAGATCAAACTCAAAACAAACAAATGCACACTACCACCACTACTTGGGCTTGTGTAATCCAATATTTATCATTTTGGGTCAAAAACATTTGAATTTTATTTTTTTTAAAATTAAATTCTTACCGTTTGGAATTTGAATTTTGGTTTGAAATTCAAAGTAAATTCTGAATTGACCCCAACGTTTCTAAACGTTGGCAGTTTGATCCATTACACCTTTTCAACTTTTTCCCTCCAACCCGAACAGGTTCTTTGCTTGTTCAAGTCTGTTTCGAACAGATTCTTTGCCTGTTCAAATCTATCCTTAAAAGCCTCAAATTCTGCTATAATTAAACAAGTCATCCATTGGGTTTTTCAATCAATTTTTGTTATTCCTTCTGCTTCTGCTTCCTGAATTTATTTCCTGTGAGAAAGAGTATAAACACAAAGTATATTCGTTGGACATTTAGTTTGTATTGTTGCTACTAATTGTCGTTAATCATTTTATCCTAGGATATTGACGTCCACATTCTAAAAGTATCGTGGAGAGGATGAATCTGTCTTAAGGAAACAGTGTTTAACACTGGACTTGATTGAATTTTCGAAGAAGTAATACTGTAAGTAGTTTGTTTATAATTTTCTTTTTAGATTTCTATTTGATTCTGTTTTGTTTTTTGTAACAAAATAAGAATATGTTTTTTTATTTTTATTTTTTTTGTTTGTTCTATTTTGATTTAAGTAATCAAACAAACTTTCTTCTTCCTTATTCAATTATTCGAATACAGTGAAAATTGTCTAAGACATTGATTATTGATATAAGGGTTATCAAGCTAGTCTGCAAAATTAGTGTTCAAATCAGTATGTGGGCTAGGCCTGTCGGGTTTTTTTTATGGGTCAGGTCAGTCTAGGACAGGAAAATTTATACGGAAGCCTTATTTAATAGGTATGGCTCAGACGGTCTACCAAGTTGGCCCATGGCCTAATTCCAATGGGTCAAAATTCCAGTTTAAAATGCATTTTATATATCACATAACTCATTTTTACAATTGAATTGATGATCTTATTTTCGAATAAAAAGTAATATTAGGTATTTCGTAGTATAACATTGTCCATTAATGACATTTAAAATGCATTATCTTTCAAAATCAATATCTATAGGACATTTAAAAAAACATTATACAAACACAAACAAACAAACAAACAAAAATTGTGAAAATAAAGTACCTTTTGGATTGCCATCTCCCAACAAGACCACATGATCCCTTGAAGGGAAAATTTTTCCGGGTTGGCAAAGGTCACCGAGAAAGTAGGCAGCGAAGCAGTTTACAGAGACATAGGTGTAAGGTATTCCGGCATCTTGGATCGCTTTTCTTACTACCATTTTGTCATCAAATGTAACCCTTCCTGGTTCCATTGCATTCGTCGTTGTTGCTGGATCAGTTTCGAACTCAGATGGCAAAAATCTCTACATTATATATACCCCAAATTAAAAATTATGAATTTCACCAAATGCATCAAGTAAAAGAAACAACAAAGCACTAGTAGTGAAGTGATTTAACAATATTTTGCACTAGTGGTTGTCATGTTTTCCTAGTATTTGTCATTTTCTTTCAATTTTAAACTTGAGCTGTTAGATTATATATTTTACTGACATGTTTTCCTATGATATATATATATATATATATATAATGAGATCCTTATTGTTAATCATATTGTTTAATTTTGATGATGTCTAAAGTATTATTTGCCAAAATTTAGATTTTTTAATATACATATTATTTGACACAAAATAAAATCTGTTTAAAATACACATTGTATGGTACATTTGTTAAATATTATTTAAATAGAAATATTTTGAAAACTTTGCTATTCACTTTTTGGAAAAAAAAAATTAGGCTGATCACTATTTATCTTTTGACAAATTGATTGGTTGTATTATTTTGACAAATTTGATATTGACGGGTTGTCTTCTTTTGACAAAATTGATATGAAGTAGAAGGATATATTTAGTTTAAAATCTCTATAACATATACAATAATTTAAAGATGACATATATTTTCAGATCTATCATTTATATTATTTAAAGATATTTTTCTATGTGTGCAAATATGTGATTAGAATATTATATATATATATATATATATATACATGATATTATATTAAAAAATGTTGATTAAATTATATATACAAAACTTTGATGATTTGCCTATAATGTTTGGCAAAGAAAAAGTGGATAAAGAAAATGTAATGTTTGACAAAGAAAAAGTGGACAAAGAAAATATTAGGTTTGACAAAGAAAAAATGGACAAAGAAGATATGATTTTTTACAAAAGTAAAGGGTGCCATATGATGTATTTTAGATGCCTTTTGTCAAGGAGCGTTCTTATGTAATCCATGGCGTTAGTAAGGAGCGTCTTACCTCTAACGGACATATTTTTGTGGATAAATAGAAGTGTTGTGTGTGGAGAAAAATCAAGAACTTGAAGAGACAAATTTCTGTGTGCTCCAAAAAATTTGAGTATATTGTATTCTGCTCTTTCGCTTTTAGATCTAAGGGTAGCCTTTGTTCTTACACTTTCATATCTACTATTTATGAGAGAATTATTGTAAAAGAGGGTTTAAGTACCATTTATTTTTATTCATTATTTTTGTGAGAGATTTTTCTAAAGGTGAGGCATTTATTGTTGAGTGAGGCTCAATAGATAAGAGTAAGTCATGTGTAAAATTCACAAGCTTAGTGAAGACTTGGTGGTGTATTAATTTATTTTGATAATAAAGAAATTCTCAAGGAGGTTCCTTGGAGAGTGGACGTAGGCTTGGCGTGCCGAACCACTATAAATCTCAGTGTTTGATTTTCTCTCTCTATCTTTTTTTTTTTCATATTGATAATTATTATTCTGTTTTTTATTTGTTAAAATTCTGAATATTGTATTTATAAATTTTAATATTGTGAATTTTTTTAAATAACCCAATTCACCCCTCCTCTTGGGTTGCCTACGTGGGATAACACTTATCCTTAACTAAAAACTCTAATAAGTTTCTAAGTTAAATAATATATTTGGTAAATTGATCCACTCTTCATCCATTATTAATTCATAACCAAATATCTCATTATTAGTACTATAAATATGACGTTTTTCATTTTATTTTATTTTTATGTACACAACAAGGTACAAATTAGTTGTTGGATAGTTTGGCTGAATATCGAACAACATCAGGTTATATATTGATGAGTAATAAGAGTATTGAAAACCGAAAATTGAAAATCCAAAATCGAAAATTTTGATATGTAAGAGCCAACACAATACATAACAGCTAGTTTAGCAATAAAATAAATAGAATAATTATCATGAATAATATAATGACAATGACAATAAACAATATATATAAACAAAATCAATAGTAGAGAAACATAGCTACGAAATTCTAGGAGTCATGTTGTTACTGTTTTAAAATTTTTGTTGTGAAATAGTTCTAAAATAAAATTCAAATTGCTCACAACATCTCTCATCTAATGTTCACAATAACCACCAAAAATATCAATATAAAATGTAGAGAATTCTCATAAAACATTCCATCTCTCAAACCATCTTTTCCATTTTTTAGTATATCAAAGTTGGATAGAGATGTAAAAATATATAGGAAAAATATAATTAATGGTATGGTATTAATCCTCATTAAGAATAAAACAATTACTTATATATTAACTAGCATAAAACCTGTGGTATGCACAAGAGAGTCAAATTTTATTTATAAATTAAAAATAATAAAGCCTTTTAAAGTATATATATATATCTATATTGGACAATCTTAATTTATATTTCTCTTTGTTTTTAATATTTTATTAAAAATATTTAAATTTGAAAGAGAAAAAGAGATGTGATTTTAGTTATGGTGTAAATCTTAGGTGGAGTTAGTAGATTTTCATTATAATAGAGATTTAATTTGGTAATTTTTAGTAGTAAATATACATCAAAATTAGGCCCTATTTTGTTGAGTGTTCTAAATTTTGAACCTTTACGTAATAAGATTTTTTTTTTTTTAAGTAAACTTTGAAAGAGAAAAAGAGATGTAATTTTAGTTATGGAGTAAATCTTAGGTGGAGTTAGTAGATTTTCATTATAATAGAGATTTAATTTGGTAATTTTTAGTAGTAAATATACATCAAAATTAGGCCCTATTTTGTTGAGTGTTCTAAATTTTGAACCTTTACGTAATAAGATTTTTTTTTTTTTAAGTAAACATTGGCCGACATGGTAAATAGTCTAACAATTATGATTTTTTTTAAAATTTTTTTATATTTATTGCATTTTTTATAATCAAATAGTTATGATTGAGATGTAGTCAAATATCTGACCCAATTGATCATGACCACATATGCCAATTAATTTATCTAATATTTAAGTGTTTTCACCACCCAAAAAGAATTAGGTGTTTTCATTTTTTTTTATATTTGTAGTAGAATAAGATAAGTATTTTTAATGTTCAATTTTTTTTTTTTTTTGTTTTAAAGTTTAATAAATAGTTATGATTAAGTTACAGTAAAAAAGTTTAACCCAATTTGATTATGCTCCATGTAATAGATGTTTTTAATTTTAATTTTTTAAATTTAGCCAATAGATATAATTGAATTGTAGTCATGTCTAACCCCGTTAAATTGTGTTACTTATATCAATAAGATAGTTGTTTTTAATTTTTAAATTTAGCAAACATGAGTAAAGAATGATTCAATAGAAACCAAATTGATACTGTTAGTTGATCAGTTTTTTTTCATAAGGAGTCTCAAGTTTTTTTTCGAAAGGAAATAAGATTAAGAAGAAAAATATCTTAATATAAAACTAATCATTTAATAAAAAGAGCCATAATATCTTATACCTAAGCTAAACAATATGAATAATATCTAACAACTGACTTTCGCTGATCCAAATATATATATATATATATAAGTGAATAATTATTCAAACTAAATATTGATAATTTTTATATCTCACAATTTATTAATAAAGTTCTCACATAAAAAATAGAATAGACAAAAGTGAGAATAAAAACAATTCAAACAAAAAAAATAATAATAAAAGAAGAGAAAAAAAAAACATATATCAATTTAATAATGAGATCAATCATTGAAATGATTTTTTAAGATGTCATCTATAACTAATAATTAGATCAATAGAGACTAAAAATGTATAGTAGTAGTTATACCAAATATTATAGGACAAATGATATATTTGAGAAACATACAATATATATATATATATATATTATAATAAGTTAAAATGAAGTGATTGATAATTGTAATATGCATGAATTATTCAATAAAAATTCTTTTCAAGTACTATCACAAATTACATGCAAAGATCTATAAATCTAGAGCAATTGCATGAAAAAGTTTATAAACCTAAGTAGATCTTATGTAAAACTATATAGACCCTATGTAAATTTATATGAATTTGAACATGTTGCTTGAAAAGATCTATCATTAAAATATACAATAGAATAAAGATGAAAAAAATTACATGCAATTTTATGACTTCAAATAGATTTCAATTAAAAAAATGATTAATCTCGAGGGATTGTTTGTAAAACTCTATGTATATTATAATCTTCCCTGGAGAGGAAAAATAAATAAATTATTGGAGTTAGGAGATATAAAATATTAATGCCTTAAAGAATTTTTTATGATCACTATTGCATTAAGAGGGAAAAAAAAAAAGGATGTTGTTGGGGGTTTGTTTCCAATGTTGGGTTTTGTTGATGAATGTTCAAATTTATATGGAAACTTAATTTGAAGATAATAATGTATTTTGGAGGTTTAGTGTTTAAATTCAAATATACTTTTTGGATAAAGATAATGTAATAACCCTTACGCTATCCTAACCATACTTATATGCATTCATGTGATTCCGTCTTGTAAACTTGCATTTCGAGTGTTGTCCCTGTTCATTTAAGTGTTACAACATGTTTTGTATCTTGCTTGGTGTGAGTTTAGCCGAGGTCATTTTCAGTTACAACAATGATTCATCCCTCCTTTTCCCCCCACCTCCTTTGACCCCCCCTCTCTCTCATTGGTTACATTTTCTTTTTCTTTTTCTTTTTTTTCCTGCTCCTCCAATCACCATCCGCCACGTGGCAAGGGGGGGTGAGGGGGTGACCCCCAAAAGGGGGTCCCAAGCATTATTCTTTCAGTTATCTTGGAACCACTTTGTTTGACTACCACCCTCGCCCTGACATATTGGCCGAGATGTCATTATCTAGGCCGAGGTGTTCATCACCAAGGCCGAGGTGTGCATCATCTAGGCCGAAATCTTACCTTTACACCCAAGTGACCTTGTCCCGGAGTGGTATGACCTAGACCGAGGTGTGGCACATCTAGGCCAAGGTGTGGCACAGCTCAGTCAAGTGTTGTCCTTCCTAGCTGAGGTCATTGTTCCTTACTTGCCGATGTCTCGTTCCTAGCCGAGATCA